TGAATGGACTGGGAGCATCCCATATGATACCATTGCTGAAGCTATGTCAAAGCTACACGATACCGTTGCCAAAGGGTATGGAACTGATCAGTGGCTAGATGGGAGAATATCGGGAGCTTTGCATAGCAGCTGCCAGGAGCTCAGACCCTGTCAGGGCCCCAACACCTCAAGTAAGCAACAGAAACTGGTAAGGAAAAAACTTTGCTTTCTAAGCTTACAGCTATGCCTTGTTCTTCAGGACCCAGCAAATACCACTGATGTAAATGCACATTGAAGCCTAGGATGCCTTTCAATCTAGATTAATTCTCTGGGAAATTAATTTGGTCACTCTCAGTTATTTCCGAAACAGTTTTGGAACACCCACCATATGCATCAACTTCTTGAGTGCACTTTACTCAAACGTTGCACTGTCACTTACACACAGGCCAGTCCCAAATCCACCTCTAGTCATACACAAATACTGGCCCACAGATGGGGATATGCATCCCCATGTACATTAAAAGTGTACTCAGCTCATTCAGTAGTGAGCAGAGGAACATTACGATACAGAACTGGATTGGCTCCATATACAAAAATCTGCTCCTGCATATGGATTTCTCTGGCTGGGTTAGGATGATTTCATTTACCATGTATTTCTTATTTTTTCTGGCATGAACACTGAGCTCATCATAAGCAAAAGAGGCATGTGACGTGGCCCTCAGCATCCCAAAAGAATACAAAAATATTAACTGTGTGTTTTAGTATAACAGGAAGAACTGATAGTCACTGAAAAAGTAAAACATTGCTATCAACAATTGTGTCATGATTAATTACTTTATTATAAAACTGTACCAGATGTTATTACCTGCTAAGGCCTCTGTTTTATCTTCTCCTGAAACTCCTATGGGTATGGAAGCGGGTATGAAAATCGGTGTTGGAATTTTAGGAGTCTTTTCTTCCAGCTTGTCACGCGCAGGGTCCGTTTTTGGCAAAGATGGGATCATTTTAGGTTTGGTTGACAGAGGTAAAATGGCACCTGTCTGCTTGGCCAAATAATTGAGAATATCTTCTTTGAGGATGCGATCATCTTTTCCTGTCCCAATAACTTCACTCAGTTTAATCTGAAAAAAATGCATGCAGTGAGCTAAAAAAACCCTCTAAATACAGAGCACCGGCAGGAAAAACCATGGCTGATTGAACGAGACTGCTAAAGCGAGGCCAGACGGTGAAGCATTTAAAGAGGTACTATGCACAGACAGATACTTAGACTGGACTGGGATTGGCAACTGCCTGGAGAACAAAGATGTCCTGTCCCTTTAACAGAGGCATAGTGGGGTGTCATTTACCATACAATGCTACTTACCTCAATACCATGAAAACCTTCCCTTGCCCATTTCCACAAATTAGGCCTGCTGGAAACCCTAGGCTGGATCCAGAGGTTGTTGGTGATGACACTGTTGTAATCTTTCAAGTCCAAACCTGTTCAGCTTTAGCAGTGCTGTACTATCGGGGGCTTCCCAACTGGACTTGTACGGATGCAGTGTTACAACAGCACAACATCCCACAGTCTCTGGATCCCATCTTAGAAGGCCTCAATTAAGACTGCACCCATGTGGGTCTTCCAGTCTGGAAGCATCTGATACTGCATCACCACTGAAACTAAGCAGATATGGACGCTTGGATGGCAGACCATGTAACAGTGGACGACAGAGATAACAAAAATGCATTTGTAAAAGGCACCCACTCATCCCTAATTTGGCATATGTATGCATGCAATTCAACAGTGTAATGCAGCAAAACACTACTTTAACCACTTCATGCACAGAGAATCCAAGTATTTCCTCAAGAAAAATCTGTTTTTTGGGGGGGAATCCATACACAAGTTTGCTTGGACTCAACAGCCTGTATCCTACCACTCTGATCAGCAAGGTTTGAAATCTTCCTCTAACATAAATGGTTCCAATACAGGGGGTAAGTTTCTTAGACTGCAGGAAGGCTTCAAATGTTGCTGAACGGACTGGCAGGCTACATCCTAACTTACCTAAGTTATGACCTAAGCAGGGTTTAGAACAGATAAAAGGAAGTACTTCACCCATGGAGTAATTAACACCTGGAAAGCACTGCCACAGGAAGTGGTGGTGGCTACAAGCATAGACAGCTTCAAGAGGGGATTGGATCAACATATGGACAGAGGTCCATGACTGGCTATTACACACAAGGTATAGATGGAACACTATGTCTGGGGCAGTGATGCTCTGTATTCTTGGTGTTTGGAGGGCAACAGTGGGAGGGCTTCTGGAGTTCTGGCCCTGCTGATGGACTTCCTGATGGCACCTGGGTTTTGGCCACAGTGTGACAGATTGTTGGACTGAATGGGCCATTGGCCTGATTCAACATGGCTTATGTTCTCATGTAATTATGTTCGTAAGACAATTTTGTTGTCTTTTAAGTGTTCTGCACAAGCTCACTGATACCAGTTGTGCCAGTCACGTAAACAGGGGCACAAGTTGTGCCAGTCACGTAAACAGTGGCTAAATTTGCGGATGATACAAAGTTGTTCAGGGTGGTGAAAACCAGTGAGGATTGTGAGGCACTCCAAAGGGATCTGTTAAGGATGGGCGAGTGGGTGTCAACATGGCAAATGGGGTTCAATGTGGCCAAGTGCAAGGTGATGCACATTGGAGCCAAAAATCCTAAATATAAATACACATTGATGGGGTATGAACTGGCAGAGACTGATCAAGAGAGAGATCTTGGAGTTGTAGTGGATAACTCACTTAAAATGTCGAGACAGTGTGTGACTGCAATAAAGAAGGCCAATGCTATGCTGGGGATTATTAGGAAGGGTATTGAAAACAGATCAGCCAATATCATAATGCCCCTATATAAATCAATGGTGAGATCTCATTTGGAATACTGTGTGCAGTTCTGGTCACCACACCTTAAAAAGGATATTATAGCTTTGGAAAAAGTGCAGAAAAGGGCAACTCGAATGATAAAAGGGTTGGAACACTTTCCCTATGAGGAAAGGTTAAAGCGCTTAGGGCTCTTTAGCTTGGAGAAAAGACGACTGAGGGGTGACATGATCGAGGTTTATAAGATTATGCATGGGATAGAGCAGGTAGAGAAAGAGGTACTTTTCTCCCTTTCTCACAATACAAGAACTCGTGGGCACTCAATGAAATTGCTGAGCGGTCGGGTTAGAACGGATAAAAGGAAGTACTTCTTCACCCAAAGAGTGATTAACACATGGAATTCACTGCCACAGGAAGTGGTGGAGGCTACAAGCATGGACGGCTTCAAAAGGGAATTAGATAAGCATATGGAGCAGAGGTCCATCAGTGGATATTAGCCACAAGGTATAGATAGGGGCTCTGGGGCAAGTGATGCTCTGTCTTCTTGGTGCTTGGGGGGGGTCAACAGTGGGAGGGCTTCTAATGTCCTGGCCCCACTGCTTGACCTCCTGATGGCACTGGTATTTCTGGCCACTGTGTGACACAGAGTGTTGGACTGGATGGGCCTTTGGCCTGATCCAACATTGGCGTCTCTTATGTTCTTATGTTCTTAAGAACTGCTTCCCATCCTCAGGAGGGTTCCATGCCTGTGTTTGAGGGTGCTGAATGGAGCATTTGAGCCCACATACCTCCAACAATGTTTCACTGCCTGCAGTGTTTGACATCAGATATCAGGCGGTGGGAGAAGCTGACCACAAGCAAAATCTACAGTATAAGATGCATTGGCATGACAAACTGTAAAAAGGGTGGGTTTTATGACTGTCAAGATAAATACTGCTGGGCTGATAGGAGGGGGGGGAGTGTCTCTTTCAGTCACAAAAATTTCAGTAAACTGTGTTTTAACATTATGGCCATTATGTTAACATATAATTTCTCTAACAAAGGTAGTTCACAGGGTTCTTAGTTCCTGACAGTGGGCTAGATCCTGTGGATCTGTTCTGCTAAGGGAGGTGCTTTGCTCTGGCACAAGGAGCCTTCCCTTGACCTGAGAGACTCAGTAAATGCACCTCACTTCAGAAGAAGGTCCCTTCCTCCAGGAGAAAGTGCTGCTGCTAGTGGAATGGAACTATGGAATCCAACCCAGTAGGTATGAGAAGTCAAAGAGAGGAGAAGGCCTACCAAACAAACGCACATTGTTTTCCATGGCAAGGCGGCGAACAGCTGGGGTTGCCAAGGTTTTGTGGCCTTTAATCTCCTGGTGTGTCTGTTCTTCGTGGGACACAGCAGGCGTCTCTACCACATCCTCTTCAGAAGCTACAGCTGCAGATTGGACCAAAAAAGGGGGGCATAAATTTTCATACGTAACATGAACAGTTTTTATAGGCACAGGACAGTTTTCATAGGTGCATGAGAAAACACACTAAGCTAAAAAAAAAGTGTAAAATAGTTTTGCGTATACAGGAGTTAAATAGGGCTACTTTCATGCTTAAATTACATTGTGTGGAAATACAGTTATTTCATGCACATTTCCCTGCAGTGTTAAGGGAAAGCATCACTGTTGCTCTTCCTGATTCTTCTGTTTGCTGGGGTGTGTGTGTGTGTCACACCTTGTCACAATGGCCTGCAGAGCCCAATGTATATAATCATGTCCTTTAATGATGGAGGACAATGTTATTTATACAGGGATTTAAAAAATTAATACGATTGGATAAATAAATCTTGACTAACAGTGCAATCCTAAACAAGTCTACTCAGAATCCTACTGAAATCTACTCAAATAGGGTTTACTCCCAGGAAAGCATTCTTTGGAATTACAGTATATTATATGCATGAATCATATAACATTATAATATGTGTAACAATCATATAACATTATAATATGTGTAACAATCATATAACATTATAATATGTGTAACAACAGCAGCCTTGTTCAAATGGCTTCATTGTGGCTCAGTCCGTAAAGCTGACAATAGGCCTGAAGAAAGATGCCCTGTCCTTCTAATGTGTTAAAATGGGACAGCTACAGCTTTTCATGGCGTAGAGATAACAGCATAAATAATATCACCTGGTTAATAACATCCTATTAAGCATCTATTATGGGGAAAGGGCATTTATTTCTCCAGGCAATTGTCAACCCAAACAGCTTCTTCCTTGCTTGGTTACTTACCTCACAAGGTTGCAGTTCTTGGCTGCAAAGCAGCATAGCCCAACCTCATGGGGAATGAGACCTTTACGCCTGATATATTTTTGTTCCCCTCCCAGCTCCTTCAGGAGATTCCCTCTCCTTTTCTCTCTGCCGGCTCCCCAAACGTCCCCTTTCAACCGCCACTTTCCCTCACCTGTCACTCCCTCCCCAGCATTCTGTCGTCTCCCTAGCAACCAGTTCCTCTCAGTCAAATACTTTGTCCGTACCTGGCCATTCCTTGCATTAGGTTCACTGCACATGAGTAAATATCCTATATTTTTAAGAAAACCACTATAAAAATGAGTGAAATGGGGTTATCCAATTATATTGCATGGGCATGTAGTTTCTCCACACACACATCAGTGCAGTGTTATGGGAGAGCATCACAGAGAAGTGACTTCCAAGTTGCTGCAAGTGAAGCCTAAAGCAATTCTTTGCTTGTCCAGTTAATGCCTTCAGACAGGAATCTAGTAACTCCTTGACTAATTTCATGCATCCCAAAGCACTGTGGGCTTGTGTTTCTCAGCATCTGCTCTCTATGCCACACCATGAAGCCAACTGTTTTTGAAACGGGGGTGGGGGGGGCCTTTTGAAAGCACCTTTTGACAAAGCATGGAGCTTTGCTGTTCAAAGATTTTTTTAAAGGACAAAAGTCCTAATGGGTGGAAACTGCTGGACCTAAAAGCTTTAAATGAAACCATTAGTTACCTAAGAGTTGAGAAAGGCTGTCAGAATACTAATGCCCAATGGTACCCAAATAATTGAACAGAAAACACAAAAGATAAAATACTTGCATTATTTCATTTTTGCTCTGCCTAGTGAAGAACCTCACCTAGTTGAAGGCTTGCAGAGCATTCTGAAACAAGAACTTATTTTTTTACAAATGTATATTTGGTCCATAGCTAAGTTTGCAAGATCAGCACAGAATGGCATGCTGACGTAATGATGAAAATTAGTTACCATTACCTTTTAAGGCCTCTGTTTCTATGTCCACTAAAGGTTTCCCCACATAAGCAATTTCATCTAAGTTATAATAGAGTTTTTTAATGACACCATCGTAGCGACTGGTGATTGTAACTGAGGCCTTGTCACTTTGTACCTCACAGATGCTGTCAAACTGAGATACGATGTCACCTTCTTTTACATACCTAAGGAAAAACCCCAGAAAGGAATACTTAATATACACAATGATAAAGTTTGTTGAGTAGGTGATATGACATGATGTGGGTGTCTATGCTTTGCTAGAATAGGAGAAAGTATGTATTCAAAAATAGATACCACAAGTGGAAACAAGTGAAACATTACGGAGGTACGCTGGTGGTACCCTGAAGCACTAAGAGTTGTATCAGGGGTTCACTGAGTCTTCAGAATGGTCCACCCAAATTTTGGTGGTAATCATGACTTATGTGTGACCACTACCACTATTTCACCTCCACATACAAACCACCAATGGAGATTCAGGTTGTGGAATGCTTTTGAAACACTTATCAATGTGCTCTTATGGGATGATGGATGCCAAATAATGGTTTGGCAGGATAAGAATAACGAAGTCTATACTGTTCATGCTGTTAAACAGTTCTTGAAAGCTAGATTTTTTCATAGCTTGGAATGCAGCAAGCCAATTTGGATCAAAGGGCACATAAATAAACAAACTTGGTGGTGCTCATACTAATACATTGTCATGCTCTGACTCTTTACCCTTCCCTAACTGTGGCCAATTCACTTTCTCAAGTCATCACCATTATCATGCATACAGAATTAGATTGCCCCCAATGCCCAGATTTTCTAGTTTACCTACTGCTTTTAAAAGCAATTCATATGAGGCTCAATAAACAATTCTGTTCCCTTCTTCCACAACCAGTACAAATGTATGTAACGAATAATATCAATTCATCCCTCTTCCCCTTACCACCAGCTTTCCAATCAAGACTGTGTTTTTAAAATCTCTCCTCAGAAACTTTCATTCACATCAAAATAATTAACATGACCTCTTCCAGGAGGTTTTAAAAATTAATTAAAAAAGAGAATGATCTTCCTGACTGATAGACCTTCTCTGACACAACAATAAAACTGCATTTTCTTTTCCTTCCCCATATCAAGTTTTCAAGGAGGCAGAAGTTGATTAGTTAGGGCACAGCTTGTTCCATGGCAGAATGTAAGTTAACTTACCATTCTTTCATAGTCACCTCTGTGATTCCTTCTCCAATATCAGAGAGCTTGAACTGGACAATCTGGCTATGTGAAACTTGAAAAAGACACTGGCACAAATTAGAGAGCTGAACTAAACAAAAGCAACTAAAGCATCACTCAAGCAGTCAGATTATGGCTGCGGTCACACGCAACATTAGCCCACTCAAGCAGTCAGATTATGTAAGCTTTCCCCAAAATTATATCATATAAACATAAACTGTCAGCAATTTCTACTTGAAAACATTGAAAATGGACTTCCAAAATGCCAATGTGCCAAGGAAGATTTTTTTTAAAAAAACTTGATTTATGGATAACTGGTCTGGTTTATTCTTCAGTGTCTTAACATGCTTTGCAATTAAAGTATCAGCAATTTTGAAAACAGAAAAGAAGAGAAAGGCAACCTTGGATTACTTTATCTGCAGTCTGAATCTGCACATATTTACACTTTAGTAAATTCCACTGTGTTCAAGCAGACTTACTTGAGAATTAACGTACTTAAAATTGTAGCCTTAGTAAACTTTCAATCTTTGCAAGAATTAGGGTTACCATATTTTGAAAAGCAAAAAAGAGGACATATTTCCCAACTGAGTACTTCTAACAAGTGATCACTATGACAAATCTCATTTTCAGTACCCCAGGCATTTAAACTGTGATAATTGCTACAAACTAGAAATATTCCTAACCTTCCAACCCCAAAAGAGGACATTTTCATCAGAAAAAAAACTTAAAGATTCCCAAAAATGACAGACACCAAAAAAGATGACACATCCTCTAAAAAGAGGACATCTCGTAACCCTACAAGAACACATATATTTCAAAAGCTTGAACACCTGATAGAAGTGACTCCAATAGAATGTAGGGTTTTTTCTTTTTTGTCCATCTGCGTTTGGACACTATAGAGCAAATAAATGTCCAAACAATATCAAATAACAGGTGTGAAAGAAACTTACCAACAGTTGTTCTGAAAAATCTGTGCTGATGATGATCCTTCCACATAGACTTATCAAACGCCAAAGTGTACTTTGCTTTTAGCAAACGAAAGCTGCTATACAATCTAATATGGCGAACGCAGAGCTAGAGAGGGAAAGAAATAAGAACTGTATTAATGACAGCTCTTGTTTTAACTTGCCATAATAACAGAAATAAAGTCCTTATGTTTAGAAGAGCTTTGACAGTTAAGCATCAGTTATACAGATCTTATTTTTTTAAAAATCATATTACTGCCATCAAACCATATCAAGGTCTACAATGTACCTTTCACGGAATAAAAGGTTAGAAATGGCATTCTTAGCAGATATAGAAATCAAAGTGTCTGTATGGGGAAGATGGAAATTAGAGTGTAATTCTTGCATACATTTAATCACAGTTGGTTGGTTGAAATCAAGCGAACATATGAATTCTGTTGGCTAGATTTTAGTCTAACTTCCAGAATAGCTAATTTACAAAGCTATAGTGCTACGTACACTTATTTGAGAGTAAGTTCCATTGAAATATGTTACAGTAACAATAAAATCCTGTCAACGTAGGGACATCCAGAGGATGGCGGCACGCTGAGCAGTCGCATCTCCCGGACCTCCAGGAGGTAAGAGCTGAAACTTATAGACAGAAGGTGAACAGCAAATTAACATGTAATATGATGAAGATGTTTTAAGGTATGCGAAGACAAAACTAAATAACAAGCTAAGGCTATAAGGTCAACAGTTGTTTTGATTTAATTAAGGGGGAAACACAGGAAAGCAATAAATATGTCAAAATAGGAGATAAATGTGTAACAGTACCTATATATCTAATTCCCAAGTTGCCCCCTGCGTTCGGATATCTAAATCCGCACATTTGGGGCACCTGGGGGGCAGGGAGATTTTTCTGCACACTTGGGGCAGTCCACAGGTGTGCAGAAAAATCTGTAAACTTGGAAAAAATATAGGGGGGATATTTAAATCCCCCCAAAAGAAAGAGCGCTCCCTGTGCATGCACAGAGAACGCTCTGGGAACTCTGCAGTGGGTCGGCGGTTGGAAGTCACTCAGGCCTCGCCACAGGAGCGGGGGGGGGGAGGAGATCGCCGGAGCCGGGAGGAGAAGACAGGTGGTGGTGGCGGCGGCGGAGATCGGTGGAGCTGGGGGGAGGAGGAGATTGGCAACGGCGGCGGAGAAGACCTCCAGAGTTGGGGGGGAGGAGATCAGCGGTGGAGGAGGAGACTGCCAGAGCAAGGGGGGAGGAGGAGGAGTTTGGGGGGGCCCAGGGTGTCACA